CAGATCAGAAACTCCAGAAATTAGAAAATTGTTTTTGAATGTCACAAAGAAATCAGAATTTTTTTCGCACCATCCCAAATTAATCAGGAAGGGCGATTTTCTACAAACTGCAGTGGACCTCAAAAGTCTCGTACCCATTTTTGTTTCGAATCATGTATTAGAACTAAAAATACACTAATGTAATGTGATTATATGCCTGAATAGTACATCGCAAGTACTACCTCTATATACCTGTTTCATACGAAAAACTCTTCAATATGAAATACAATAAAGACAAAAAAACTTCAGTACTATGACAAAAACTACATAAAAAAGATAAAATGATACTAGAAAAGTTTGGAACGCTGTTTAATTTTGCGATAGGAATTGTTTATACAGATTTTGCAAAACTGTCGATGGCGCATCTTTTCAAAAGAAAACAAAATTTTATCAGCTGTATGTACAGAGATATTCGCAAAACAAACTATGTTGCAACCATTTTGGGACATGCGGCATTTTTCAGTGTTCAATATTTTGACTATAATACCGCTATTTCTCAATGAAATCCAAAATGTTTTTTTTTAACCAAAATGATCAGCAAAAAAGGCTCTATAAACACTGATGAAGCGAAGTGTTTTCTGAATACTTTGTGTTTTTTTTGCGATTTATTAATCATGGAAGTGTCCTATAACAGCAATATTATCTTATCCTTTTTTAAGACACTTTTTTCTTAGTATTGAAGTTTGTTTATCTTCGTTCTATTTAATATTCAAGGGTTTTTTGTATGAAACGGGTGTATATATATATAGTACTCGAGACATGCTATTCAGGCATATAATCACGTTAAGCTAATGTATTGTAGTTTTAATACACGACCGAAAACAACCAAAAACGGTATGAGCCTTTGAGGTGCACTGTAGTGACTACTATCCTAGTTAGTTCAGCAATCGGTATTATTCGACAATATATTCTACTTGAAATGAGAAAACGTCGTCTCTTGAATTATCTGCGATGTAGCATGGTCGCACCAAATTCTCTGCTGGGTGTCTGCTTATTGACTTATCAGCTTGCCAAGCTAACGGCGGTCAACGTGGCCAAAGTTGAACTTCAGATTTGTCGAATGTAACCATAAACAGTTTGCAGAGCATATTTAACTGTATAAGAAATTGAGTCTTGTTTTTTCATTCACTCCGTCTGAAAAAGAATGAAGAACCGAAACATAAGGTATAATTTAATTTTATTACTATATATTTTAACAGTGCAAAGAAAAAGGTTCTCAGCAGGTGATGTGAAACGTTTTATAAGATGGCTATGGTATGGAAAGAATCACTAATAGATCGAGTTTGTTTTAGGATGTCTAATAAAATGCCATCTTCTTTCTTAGTTTAAAAAGGTCGAGTCGCAAAACTTGACCAAAAGAGAGGTGAATGCGTTACCATTTAGAGAGTTTTTTCACATTTATCCTTCTACTACGAAAAACATTTTTAATGGGAGCTATTTATTTTTAGGTAACTTTTGACGCACTATCATAAGTACCTTTCAGAACTTTTCATAATTGTATCCCTTAGGACAATAAAAGATAACGCACTCATGCGACCTTTGTACGTCTAACAATCAATTAGACTACTGATCATGAAATATGAGCTCGGCTCCGCCCACTTTTGATATGGATACTAACTCAATGTCCATTACAATTCAGCTATCTTTGTTTTGCAGAAACATGGGATGTATGAACGATGAATTATCCAGTGTTTTCCGATCGTGTTCATGATGAAAGTTCCTTTATCGTCATATTCTTTGCTCTTTTTAGTAAAGTAGCACACGGCACAATCTTCACTGGAGGACGTAAATGAATTACAAAGTAATTAAAAAAATGAATTCTAAAATAATTCAGTTGTTGTTAATTTCCATGAGGTACTACCAGATATTATTATGGATTACCAGGGATTACAAGGGACTATAAGGAACTACAGATTAGATGCGTTTTGCAGCTTTCCTGGAAATGCGATTAAACCCAGGGATGGGAGATACAGATGATATAGAGATATACTCTCAACTCTTAAAAACCAATGTTACGTTGTTTGAGTTAACTATTTTTTTTTATTCTTGCTTATATGCCAGTATCATTTTATTAATCATAAAGTATCGAATAAATATTAAATCAGCATTTAGAATTATGAAGAAACAACTTTAAACTTCTTCTATATCTCATGTATCTCTAAATGTCGCACCCCTGTGTTTATCAGATTCCCAGAAAAGTCGTAAGACGCATCTAATCTGCAATCCTTTGTAATCTCTATTAATTCTTGGTGATTTCTGGTCAGTTCTTGCGAACCCTGATTCTCAGTAATGGATCAAGTCAATAGAATTACTAATATAAATCGTATTGCAGCTTCAACTCAGAATCGATATAAATCTGAATTATTTTATAATTCATTTAGGTCACGGACTCATTATTTGTGAGGTTGGATTCAAAGACTCAGATTAGTTTTATTTGTTCATTACCACACACATTTCTTCATTCGGATGTTGTTTTCTCTGTGAATTCGTTTGTCAAGTATCTCTTTCTTGTCAGTCCACTCACAAAATATATCTATTCCATCCGTAAAGATACACGATGGTTATTTTTCAATTATAACAAAAAAGTGTTTTTTATGAAAGACATTAAACAATTTCACTATAGAAATCGTTTTGACTTCCTCAGGAATCCTTTGAATAAAGTTTTGGTGAATAAACTTTGGCACTGAAAAAAAAACTTGAAAAAATGCTGCTAAGTGCGTTACTGCAATGCTTCAGTAATAATTCTTTACAGGGACAAACTTTGGAAAAGCAAATTCCATGGTTATCAAGCCTATCATCTTAGCTTCAAACTCATATGAAAATATTTTGTTTAAAGCGCATAAATTCGCAGGAATAGTAATTTCTTTGCATGGGCCTTACAAGTAGGGACCTCTTGAATCAGTGCATTACCTCGGTTTCCTGAACCTCTAAAACCGCCATAGTACAATTATACGAAGTGAAATTTTCAGCAGAGGTAGATCTTCCAATTACCTTGTGAAACTATAAGTTTCAGCTCTTTGTGACGTACAAATCTTGAGTTGTAGGAATCAAAAGATCGCAAATAGGTGAGTGCGTTGCCTGTGAACAAATTGTTATACATTCTGTTCAAAGATATTTCACTCTGAACAAAACGACAACTCACTAAATACATTACTTTAGTTGCCCATGTAAACACTAGACGCAGAATATACGCATGTAATCGCGGTTTTGTTGTAAACCGCGTTCAGATGCAATGAAAATCGACTTTCACTGCGCTTGAACGCAGTTTCATTTAGAAGTGCATCTAGACGCAGCCGA